TTCTGGGAGCTTCAGCCAGCCCTGACAGTCCTCAGTGTCCTCCTGTGTCCAGCTGCCACCTTCTGAGGGGTTGAAGTGCAGCTGGAGAGGCAGAGGAGACCACCCTGGGGGTCTGTTGGGGGCTGAGCTTGGCAGAGGCTCCCCTGCTTGACTGTGCAATATATCCTGCAAATTTGTCTGTACATCCACCAAACCTGGCTCTGGTGACCCCCTGGTGGTGATGCCATGGTTCTCTGCCAGGGTGCCAATGCTCGACTCAGCGTCTCCTGCCTCCCTCTCCCCCTGTTCCTCATTCCCAGTCCCACGTGAGGCTCTTGGTTGCACTGGAGGTGGAACTTCTGGGTCTGCTTAGTCAGGGTGGCCAGGCTGGGGGGGATCCTGGGCAACCTGGGCTGCTGGAAGGTGGCCCTGCCTGTGGCAGGGGGTGGGACTGGGTTTGGGAAGGTTTGGGAAGGGAAGAGAAGAGAAGAGAAGAGAAGGGAAGGTTTGGGAAGGGAAGGTTTGGGAAGGTTTGGGAAGGGAAGGTTTGGAAAAGTTTGGGAAGGGAAGGTTTGGGAAGGGAAGGTTTGGGAAGGGAAGGGAAGGTTTGGAAAGGTTTGGGAAGGGAAGGGAAGGTTTGGGAAGGGAAGGTTTGGGAAGGTTTGAGAAGTTAAGTCTTTAAGTTCCCTTCCAACCCAAACCTTTCTAAGTGGGTGAGGAAACCAACTGAAGCTTTGAGTTTCCCCCTTCCCTCATTTTATTTCGTGTACTTCTGCCAGCACAAGAGCAGGAGAGGTGTCCCTGGAGGCTCTGCCTTAGCTGTTTTCCAGGACCAGTGGCAGGTTTCACTGGAGGGAGTTTTCTGGATGCAGAGCCACAACATCTCCTCGTTGATTTATTATTCCGACGAGGTTCCTGGGAGGCCAAAGGGTTCTCACCACAGAGACCTTGCAGAAATGCAACACTGAAACAATCACTCTGAATCCTGAGAGAACCACTCTTAAATTATTCAGCCAAAAAAAAAAAACAAACCCCAACGATTCCAGGGTGTTTATGAGCTGGATGAAGGGTTTTTAATTAGTCGGCAAGATTTCATTTCAGCGGCACCGCGCTCCGGAAGGGGGAACAGCAGCTCCTTTGTGGGGTTTTTATGCTGTTTCCAGCACGTATCTGATGAACTTGCTTTCATCAGGAGCTGCATGAATCTTTTTTTAACCGTTTTGAGAGCCCTCAGCACCGGGAGAGGCTGCTGGGTGGTTCCTGGAGTGGAGCAGGAGGAGAGCAAGGCGTCCCTCGGAGCAGCAGGAAGCTGGCAGCCAGCCCGCTGGGAGACTGCAGGAATTCCTCCCTCCCCGGGGATGCTGCTTCCAGGAGGGTGATGGGAAACACCCTTGGAAGCAGCCAAAACCACAGCTGTGGTGGCTGGGATGAGCTGAGCCAGCATTTCAGTCAGCCCTGCCCGAGAAGGGCTTCAACGTGCAGGTGTCTCTGTCCAGCCTGCTTTTGGTCTTCATTAATGGATAAAAATGAGGTGCCCGAGTCCCATCACCCAGTGCTGGGTTCCTTCACTGCCTGGGACCTGCAGACACCCCCCCCTGAGTCAGCACATTCTCCCCCTCGGGCTGAGTTGTTCTGGGGTCCCCCCAGGATGGCCCCTGCTCAGCAGGAGTCAACTGGTGTCTGTTATTGGGGTGTGAATCTGGGAATCACCCCTGGATTGTAGGAGGAGGGAGCTGAGTTAACCTGGTGTCTGTTATTGGGGTGTGAATCTGGGAATCACCCCTGGATTCTGGGAGGAGGGAGCTGAGTTTACTGGTGTCTGTTATTGGGGTGTAAATCTGGAATTACCCCTGGATTGTAGGAGGAGGGAGCTGAGTTAACCTGGTGTCTGTTATTGAGGTGTAAATCTGGGAATCACCCCTGGATTCTGGGAGGAGGGAGCTGAATTAACCTGGTTTCTTACTGGGGTGTAAATCTGGGAATCATCTCTGGATTGTAGGAGGAGGGAGCTGAGTTAACTGGTGTCTGTTATTGGGGTGTGAATCTGGGAATCACCCCTGGATTCTGGATTAGTCAGAAAAACCCCTGGGTCTCATTTCCAATGCAAAGCTCTCCTGGTTCAGATCCTCCCCACTGATTCCATCTCTGCCTCCAAGAGCACTTGAGTGCCTTTGTATTTTCTCTGCAGGGAGACAGACACTCACTGGGATCAAATCACCTCTCAATCTGCCTTCTTTTCAGGGGTTTCATTTTTTTTCCCCCCCTTTTTGATCAGCTCCCCGGGCTGAGCTCTGGGAGTCTCCCAGGGTGTTTTATTTTCTCTTGCTCTCCAGTCACACCTGGTTTCTCCTTTCAGTCCCTTTGGATCTTCCACCTTCTCTCCAAGACCACCAATGCTGGCAGGGCCAGGGCAGCACATATTTATTAGCTGGGCTAATATTTATTTATTCCTGGCCCTGCCCCAGCCCCCTGTTGCCTCCAGGCCTTTCAGCAAAGCTGGTGTTTGGGGGTTCATTTTCCGAGCTCCCAAATTCCCCCTGCCCCAGGTGAGCCTGGTTTGTCCTTTGCTTTGTTTCAGGGGAGAGATGAAGGCAAGGAAGAGGCATAAACAGATGGTTTGGAACAGTCTTCTTGTATGGGAGACTTGGAATTCCTGGCCTGTCTTCTCTTCTTTGCTCTTCACTAAATTACTAAACCTATCACATAAGTGTTTCATATCAACGTGCTGGAGAACTCTCTGACCATCTTTTTGAAGACTCTGGAATAAAAATGATCTCAAAATTATCAATTTAAAATTACATAAATACAACTTTGTTGCCTAACAACCTCCTTAGCTACTAATGGACCTAAAAGTACTTCATTTCTCCCATGCCATTCAAGCATGTATTTTCTGCTCCTTGACTAATATAAAGAAATAAATATTATTGGAGATCTTTTCAAGACTGGCAGCATCTGTTCCTGGGAGAGGTACAGCAGAATGAAAGCCCAGGAAAGGATGAGTCTGGAAATAGCCCAGTTAATGTTCTTAGAGGGAAAAAAAAGACCAGTGTTTTCGTGAGAGAGGAAGCTATTTCTTAAAAGGCTTTGAAAGAAAAACCAAAGGCAACCTCTGACTCTTGTTCTGGAAATGATACAATTACACAGAGCACATTAAAGCCCCAAATCATCATTTATAAGACACGGAGTGAGCCACTGAAGCCTCCAGGAAAAGGCAAATGAAAAGGAAGAAGGAAACAGAAGTCATGGAATGGGTGTCCCACCATTCACTGCTTTCTGCTGGGGGACATTGCACATCTCAGACACCCTCCAGCTGCCCTCCCTCCCTCCCTCCCTTCTCCCTCCCCTCCCTCCCAGCAGCTGAATGGTGCAAGGACTGAGCCTTCCTCATCCCCAAGAAGAATTCCCATGTCTTGGATTGTGAGACCTGTCCCAGCCCTGACAGAGCAGGAGAGGTGTTTGGAATGTGGGTGAGGGTCTGCAGAGCCCTGGGGGGTTTCCTGGCTGGAATCAGGTGTGAGGACTGAGGTGGGAGCTCAGCCAAGCTCCTGATGCTTCCTGGGGAAGTTCTTTGCAGAGCCAGTGGCAATTTTGCCTCCTGTGCTGTAATGGAGATGCAGCTGATTTATTGGAAAAAAATCCATTTTCTTCTCTTTCTCTTCATCCTGTTCGTGGTCAGCAGAACAGGAGCTTGCAGGAGAGAGCACAAACCCATCCTGCTGCTGCTCTTCTCTCCCCTCCTCGCCCTTACTCACATCCCACCCCCAGCAAAGCCTCACCCTCCTCTCTCTCCCAGCCCCTCCAGCTGAGCCAAAACTTCTGTAGAAAGGCCTCGTCTGGAAGGTCAAATCCAAAAAAAAAAAGGGATTTGTGGAGTGGGATGGGAGAGGGGGAGTAGGGTCCTTCTACTGAGTGTGGGGGGTGAGCAGGGCAGGTACCTCCTCCTTTCCCAACAACAATACAGACACAGGAATAAACCAGCTCCCAAATCAAATTTAGGGGCAGGGTGACTCAGGTGTCCCAATCCACCCCTGCAAGTTTAGGCTGATTTCCAGATTTGCAGGACAGTGCCTTTCTCCAGCCCTTCAAATCCTTGCAGTTGTAGTCAGGGGAAGCAAAATGCTCCTTAGAAACCCTGGGAGGACCCGAGCCTGCGGGGCCTCTGCCACGGCTGGGTTTTTGTAGGGCTGCTCTGGGGTGTCACCCAGAACAGGCAGTAAAACCAAATCTCTGTGTCTTCCTTCTACAACTTTCTGTGGTCCCACTCGAACCCAGCTGGGGGATGGTGCTGGAAATCCAGCACAGTTCGGAGCAGGAGTGGGGGGGTTATAATTTCCACTTTGCAATTTAGTTTGAAATCTTTACTCAGCCCATCTTAGAAAATCAAGAAGCGACTCGAAGAGACACGAGGAGCCGATTAGAATGCCTAAAATATTGTGACTTGAATCAGTCTCCTCAGTTTGATGGAGAGGGTGGAGAGGGGAAGGATGAATCCTGATTTCCCAGCCTGGTGGGGGAAGGGCCCTGCTGTGTTTAAGGAAACCAAACCGAGACAAGAAGGTGGTTGCACCTTCACGAGCTCAGCCAACCTCAGGGTGAGCTGCATCACATCCATAATCCTCATTCCATATTCCACAAACAGCTTCCACCTCTGCTTCCAGACATCCACCCACCAGCCCCTGAGCAGGGAGATGTTCCTTGCATGACAACCACGGGGTTCAGCAGCTCGGGAGCTGTGGAGCGAAAACCAAAAAGGCACCTGTCCCATCTGCCACCACCCCCCTCCAGAGGCTCCACCCGGGGCCAGGGAATCACTGGGAAAACAGGGAAGCACGGGGTTTTTCCATGCCCCAGTTTGAGGTTGAATCAGAGGTTTGGGTTGGAAGGGAGCTTCAAAGATGGTCTGGTCCGACCCCAGCCGGTGTTTGCTTGCAGGGGGCTGCACTTGGCTGGCATTTCCTCAGCTCCTGCCTTCAGGGGCTGCCATTTCCCTTTTCCCTTTCCCAGCAAAGAGGGGCAGCAGCCCTGGCTGGGCTGGGGGGGGTCCCCAGGAGGAGCTGTCTGGTGGGAAGTGTCTCTGAGCTGGAGGAGGAGGAGGAAAAGGGCTGATGGAAGAGCAGCAGGTGCTGGTTTGGAGGAAGCAGTGAGAGCATGAGAGTGCCAAGGCTGGAAGAGCAGATCCCAGGCAGATGGAAACCTTTAGAAAATTGGGCTAAAGCAAAGTGGAGTCCCAAAGGCCAAACCCTCCCTGATGAGAGGGACCTGCCCCAGCATCACCTCTTACAACTCCCTCCAGCTGCACCTGCCAGAGAGCAGCAGCAGTTTGGGAAATCAGGCCCTTTTCCAGGGTTTTTCAGTTCTATGAAGAAGTTTCTTGGGCAGGGACACCTTCCATCAGACCAGGTTGCTCAGAGCCCCATCCAGCCTGGCCTTGGCAGGATGCTGACGTGGAATCAGAGTAGCTGGCAGAAAATGGGAGTATTTCAGCCCAGCATCCAATTGTTTGGGGTCAGGAACACTTTCCTTGGTGCCTCTTGGCTTTAGACATTGCCTAAAATAGACACATTGAGCTCTGTTGCCTGAATCTTGTGGCTGTTGCTCTCTGAGGTGCTGCAAGGTATCCGTGAGATCCCTGGGGCTGGAAAACAGGATATAGGACCAGTGGAACTTCCACATCCTTCTAAAGAGACAGCCAAAGGCTGAGGAGCTCCTGTTGCATCTAAGGAGGAGAGAGACCCCCCTAAGGAGGGCAGGAGAAGCCCCTTTCACTGCCTCCCTCCAGCTGCCACCAACCCCATGGCAGGGGGGGAACTGGCAGCTCTTTAGGATCCCTTCCTACCCCAAGCATTCCATAATTCCATGAGCTGACACACCTTGTCAGCTGCCAACGCTGGACCTGCGGTGATGGCACCCTCTGGAGTGGGATTCCAGAGGGAAAAACATCACCAGGAATGTACAGGAGGAACGAATGGACAGAATCCCTCGGCTCGTGTCTGGCAGCCAGGAGGAGGAGGAGGAGGAGGAAGAGGAGAAGGAGGAGAAGAAGGAGGGGGAGGAGGAGGAGGAGGGCTGAGGCTGGGGGGGCTTGGCAGGACCTCGTGGGGCAGATTTCTTTTTGAGAGTTTGCTCCTTTGCTCCTAAATTCATGAATGGTGTGAATGAATCTCAGCGAGGTTTGGGATGCCCTGGGTGACAAATTGGCTGTGGACTCCATCCCGGTTTCACGCTGTGCCTGTGGACTAAAATACACCTAAAATTCAACTTGGCCACTGAATTTTGCTGTAAGGGGAGGACAAATTGTTGGGTTGTAAGAACAGCAACCTCAGAGGGGAGCAGGCTGGCCCAGCTTCCCTCCATGCCTTGGTTTGGAGCAGGTTCTCAGGCTGCAATTCTAGTCCAGAATGGAGCAGCACTTGCATCTTTGGCATTCAACCCTCCCAGGCTGGGAACCTCAAATATATAGCAAGGAAAGACCTCACTAAGGCTGAATTACAAAATCCCAGAATTACTGAGGTTGGAAAAGACCTCCAAGATCATCAAGTCCACCCTGTGCCCCATCCCCACCTTGTCCCCCAGCCCAATCCCAATCACATTTCCCTGCAGTTCTAAAACTGGTGTTTTCCACTAATGCCCCCCCAATTAGCAGCAACAACTAATAATTTCATGCTCGTGCTGCCTTTCAGCACTGATTTAAAGCTGAGTGAAAGATCAGAGGTTCATGGCAGCCCTTGTTTATTGAGATCTGAGCAAGAGCCCTTTGTGTCTTGGAGTGGGCAGAAGAAATAAAGCAAGGGCAATAAATATTTGTTCTTTGCCGGCAAAGGAATTTCCCTGTAAGCCTCACCAGTCTCCAAAAATATCTTGACATGTTATTTTCTCCTTTCTCCTCTTGCTTCTCGAAGCTGTCACTGTGACAGACAGGGGAAAGTGCTCTGCAAACACCCCTCTCCACGGGGAAACCTTTCAGCTGCCTCTGAATTCTTTGTTTAATTTTTATTTTCGTACCTTCAGTGTGTTTCCTGTACCAATTTTTCAGTCCAGGAGGGGGGATCATTTGTTTCAAGCCTGACCTAACTCCCCGACTCTCTGATTTTCCCATTGTTGTGGGTTTCAGAATTCCTCCCTCCCAGAACTCTGGAAGCAGTTTTCCACCCGAGGATTTAGGTGCCGAAAGCTAATAGTGGGCTGGTTAAAATTTAATTGTTTTTCTTTTGTAGGGAAAAATAAATAAATGAATAAAGATTAGCAGCTGTGCTACTAAAACACACACAACATGCCAGGGTGTGCCTGCAAGCTGCCTGCTGAGATGGATTTGCTGGGAGCTGTTGGAGATAATTCCTCAGATGGATCTGCTCCACAGCTCTGCCTCCTCACAATGAGCAGAGTGTGTTTCCTGTACATTAATTAACCGTCTGAAACCAGTTGAATATATTTATAAACCCATTTCAGAAGCCTGAGTTTCAGCCCAGGCATCACTCACAGACTGATGCTTGTTTTTTTTTTTCTTTAATCTTGAGGCACTGAAAAGCTGCTCGATGCCTCCGAGTCTGGTTGACAGATATTATGAAGAGGTTCAGAGGTGGTTGGGTTCATCCCAGGGGAAATCTCCACCACAACGACAGAGCCTGGGTGAGAACACACGAGGAGCAGGGCCTGGAGGAGGGCTGAGGCTGGGGGGGCTTGGCAGGACCTGGTGGGGCAGATTTCTTGTGGAGGGTTTGCTCCTCGGGGGTAAATTCATGAATCTCAGTGAGGTTTTGGGTGCCCTGGGTGACAGCTTGGCTGTGGACTCCATCCAGTGTCTGCTACAAAATGAGCTGGATTTCACTCTGGGAATATCCAGGCTCAGTTTATCAAATTAGCAGCTTTTCTGCTTTTAAGACACAGCCATCAAGTGTTGGGCCCTTCTGGGTCATCCCAGGTGAGGAATGCAGGAGGTGCATTGAACCCACCTTCATGGCTCCAGGAGATCAGGCTCTACAGCTGGGAAAATCCGAATTTCAGGAAGAATTTCTTCGCTGAAAGGGCTGTCAGGCCTTGGCAGGGGCTGCCCAGGGAGGTTTGGAGTCCCCAGCCCTGGAGGTGTCCAAGGAAGGACTGGAGGTGGCACTGAGTGCTCTGGGCTGGGGGACAAGGTGGGGAAGGGGCACAGGGTGGGCTCGATGTCCTTGGAGGTCTTTTCCAACCTGGGATTCTGTAATTCAGCCTTAGTGAGGTCTTTCCTTGCTATGATGTGCCCATGGACATTCCTGTGGGATCCAAACCTCAAACTGAGCATTTGCTTTAGCATTCCTCTCTCCTCTTTCTTTCAGAGTCCAATCAATCTTTTTTCTACAAGCACAACAAGGGGAAACTCTGAGGGACCGAAGAAAAAAACAGTGATTTTGGAAATGTCAGAATATTTGAACAGGTTCTGATTGACACGAAGATCTCGGTGTTGTCAACATGGAAATGTTGCTTTTGTGTTTGCTGCAAGACCAGGGCCCGGGGTTCACCTCTGCTCGAGGGAGAGGGAAGTACAGGATGGCACTTACAGAAAGGGGACTAAGAGAAAGAAATGGCTAATTCCTTGTGATTTGGAACCCCATGGAGTAAATGGGGAAATGTGATGTGGGGTTATAAGTGTGGTGTAATTGTAGGAGCCCTTTGGCTCCTGCATCTCTGCTGCTCCCTCTGCCCCCTCGGGTAAGACCCCCCTGCAGAGCTCCAGCCCTGGGAACAGCACAGGGAGGACATGGAGCTGCTGGAGAGAGTCCAGAGGAGGCACCAAGATGGTCAGAGGGATGGAGCAGCTCTACTGGGGGGAAAGGCTGGGAGAGCTGGGATTGTTCAGCCTGGGGAAGAGAAGCTTTGGGGTGACCTGATTGTGGCCTTCCAGGACCTGAAGGAGCTACAAGAAACATGGAGAGAGACTGTTTCCAAGGGTCTGGAGGGACAGGACAAGGGGGAATGGCTTCAAACTGCCAGAGGGCAGGGTTAGGTGGGATATTGGGAAGGAATTGTTGCCTGTGAGGGTGGGGAGGCCCTGGCACAGGTTGCCCAGAGAAGCTGTGGCTGCCCCTGGATCTCTGGAAGTGTCCAAGGCCAGGTTGGATGAGGCTTGGAGCAACCTGGGTTGGTGGAAGGTGTCCCTGCCCATGGCAGGGGGTGGAATGAGATGATCTCTAAGGTCCCTTCCAACCCAACCCATTCCATGGTTCTATGATCTCATTGCAGATTGAGGAATGTGGCCTCCAAATGCTTTCTGTGCCTGCCACACCTGTGCAAGTCAGGAAAGTGTCAGGAATTGTCCCTGTGGCTTTTCTGAAGCTCCCTGAGTGTTTGCAGAGCAGAGCAAAAGGCAAGACCATGGGCTGAGATTTCCAGGCTGGGTTTCTTGCAGCAGGCACTGCCCCGGAGCTCTGAAGCCTGGAAGGAGAGCAGGGTGCCCTCCCTGCTCCCCTGCCCGTCTCTGAGAGTGGCTTTGCAGTGTGACAGCCAACAAACTGCAGAGGGTTGTCTTGGACAACGTGGCTGTGATGTCCTGGCTCTGACCCCCACGCTCAGTCCTGGCCTCAGCTCAGGAAAAATCCTCGGAGGGTTAGAGAGGAACCAGGAGCAGCGTTGCTGCCAGCAGAAGATGCCTCTTGCTTGCAAATACAACCAGGCAGATGGTCTGCTGAATTTCAATCCTTAATTAAAAGTGCTTTATTCTCTAAGCTAATTATAGGCTAATTCCTGCTGTGGGAGGGGCTCCTTTGGCATGGAGAGGGTGGGAATGAACATCTCAGTTCGCCTCCGCAGCAGCAGGCTCGGCCCTTCCCTCTGCTGCCTCAGGGAGAAAGATACCCCTGGCTGTTAGCTCCAAACTGGACCTTGTGAAGGGAATTTAAAGAAGGGAGAGGGAGCTCTCAGACAGCCCTGGTGTGATGGGATGGGATCACACTGCAGTGTCTGTCACAGCGTGGGTGACCCAGAGAGCTCCCACGGCAGGTTGGGCCCCAAAACTGGGTTGTGACTCATAGTGAGAGCTCTGCCAAAGCAGATGCATTCCTTCCAAGAGACAAAAATCTGGTTCTGGGCGATGTTTGATGTGATTGGAAGAGGTTGAAGGCAGCACTGTGGTTCTGTTCTTCAGGATTTGCACTTTAAACCCACTCCAGCCTCCCTGAAGTGCGACCCCACTGCCCGTTCCTGTGCCCCTTCCATGGGATCCTCTGTGCCCTGCAGGGGAAGAGCTCAAAGCACAGATGGCAGATTACAGGGAAAAGGACCATTTGTGCAAGACTTAGACATTTAAAAACTTAAGAAACACCAAGTCCTTGCAGCCACCTGGGGTGGCCTTGCCGTGCCAGCAGCTCTGACCCCAGTGACATTCTGCTGGTGCAAGGTGTGTCCTGTCTCCCACACTCATGTCCTGACTAGGAGGACATGAAATGGCCTCAAATCACACCAGGAGAGGTTTAGGTTGGACATTAGGAAACATTTCTTCCCAGAAAGGGCTGTCCAGCCCTGGCACAGCTGCCCAGGGCAGGGGGTGGAGTCCCCATCCCTGGAGGGATTGAAAAGCCCCTGTGGATGTGGCACTTGGGTTAGTGGAGGGCTTGGCAGAGCTGGGTTAACTGCTGGACTCGATGATCTTAGAGGTCTTTTCCAACCTAACTGATTCTCTGATTCATCATCCATCACTCTGATGGCTCTGCTAAGTGGCAAAAGACACTGCAGGATTTTGTCCTCCTTCCTCATCTGTCTCCTGTGACCCTTCCTAGATTGAAAGGCAGCGAGGTTTGTCCTGCCTCCCTCCCCTCCTTGCCGAACACTAATTCTCCCAGACAGCCTCTGTGATTTCCCCAGCTCCTCAGCTTTATTGTCCCATCTCCAGCCCTGCCTTGCAATTAGAGAAGGAGAAAAATCTGATGCTTCTGATGCTCCTTGTGAGTGGCTCGGGCTGGCCTGGCCTTATCAGGGCAGAAGTCAGGCTTATCAGCAAACACTGGCAGGGCTGTGTCTTCCTGACAGGGCTCAGGGAATGGCAGTGCTGCTGATCTCTGTCTGCCTGGCATTTCTCTCCCTTTCCCCACCAAAAATCGATGCAAAGAATCCTTTTCAGCCCCTCTCCGGGTTAAGGGAGAGGGGGGGGAAAGGATGGAAAAATACCCAGCAGATGAGAAACTTTTTCACACAATTTCTCCTGCCTGCAGCTTCTATATATAGGTTTAATTAGGACATTAAAGGCACCTCAGGATTATGCTGTGAGATTTGTTTCCTCAGCCCTGTAACTAATGCCCTGCGGTTCCACTGACGCTGCCGCCACTTCGTTAAGTCTTCCAGCAGAAACCTGCCTCTGGAAATGGTGGAAATTGTGGAATTGCTGTCCTGGGTGGGAGCTCAGGGCAGGCAGAGGCTCTGCTTTAAATGCCCTCTAATTATCTCTAGCCCAGGAAGTGGTTTGGCGTCTGTGAATTGAATTTTGGGAGAGAGAGCCCCTCGAAACGAGCTGCTTTGCCTGATTCGGGGGAGTTTTGTCTCTTACTCCCCCCAGCCCTCGTGGTGGTGGGAGATTGGCTCTTTCTCACCTACCTGGAAAAGGACTGAGACATTTCTAATATGCTGAATTAACCAGCTCCCTTCTGGCTGCCAGGGAGCTTGGTTTGTTCCTTTGAATCATAGAATCAGAGAGTCATATAATTACATGGGTTGGGTTGGAAGGGACCTTGAAGACCATCCAGTCCCACCCTCTGCCCTGGGCAGGGACACCTTCCACCAGCCCAGGGTGCTCCAACCTGGCCTTGGACACTTCCAGG